TTGTTAATGTTAACAATCAGTAGGTGGTGCATTTTGCAAGAAATTGAAAGATTTGTAAAAAAGATCGATACAATAGTCCAATAAATTAGACGTCATAGGCTTGTTATAGTTTTATGTCGGTCAAGTCTGACGTCTAATAGTTTTTGCTCAAAAACACATAGCATTATAAAAAACTCAAAAATTGTCTATTGTCTTGTTTTTCTTCTTTTCTTTCAATTTCATGCTCAATCATAGACCAAACTTTCAAAAATGTCTTTATCAATTGAAAATAAAATATAAACATCAATCTCTTTTAGTCTATTGTCAGGCAATTGTTCTGAATCAGTTAAACGCTTGCATTTGAATTAGCCAATCAGTTTTCGCGCACTGGATGTAGGCCATTCGTTTATCGGCTGTTTAAGGAATTTAATTACATGAGAGGATTAAATCATGTTTGTATGGATGGGATAGTTTCATTATTTTGTCTAAAGGTATTTATTTTTTAATTTTGTTCATAAATTTGTCAAAATTAATGTAAATACCGCTGTCTTACTGTTTTTCGTTCCGCCCGATTTTCTGGCAGAACGTGCTATGGGTTCCAGTGTTGCATCTAGAATTTCAAAATTATAATAATAATAATAATAATAATAAAGGCTTTATTTAACGAGGCTACATATTCGCCAAAATGATCTTCCATATGTACCTCAACATATTTACAACATATTTACATCAAATAATTGTACAAAAGACAATGTAATATTATAAAACATAGCATTAACTAGTTATAAATGCAATGACAAACTAAACATAAATAGTAACCATTAACAATGAAAACTGCAGTAAACATAATTATACAAACATAATACTATGGTACTGGTTTAACCAGAGTACTTCCACTTTATGCAAGGTTTTTTTGAATTTTTCAGTACTTTCAGACTGACGTACATAGAGTGGTATATAATTCCAGATTTTAGTTCCAGAATAAGAAAGTGATTTACGGTAAAACTCAAGATTAGGTTAAGGGACATGTAGATTAAGATTGTTTGTTGATCTGAGATTTCTGTTATGTAAAGTTGAGACAAAATGAAATTAATCTTTCATGTAGTATGGTGAGTTTTCTTTATGTAATGATTTGTATTATCAGGATAGCCTTTTTGTACTCAACCCTGTCATTAAATTTCATCCATCTTAATTCTTTGAAAAGAGGTTCAGATGGTGCATCTGCAGCTTTATCTAGAATAATGCGAGCTGCTCGTTTTTGAAATTTTAGCATTCTCTCAAGAAGTTTATTTGAGCAATTTTCCCAAATTGAAAAGCAATAGTCTACATGAGGTAAAATATACTGGCATTATAGAAAAGTCCCCTGGCATGTAAATTGAGATATTGTTTTAACCTTAAAAGAAGATAGAGATTACTATTGCATTTCTTTATTGTTTGTTCTACTTGAAGTTTCCACGTTAGGCAATTGTCAACTTGTACTCCAAGAAGCTTTTCAGATTCAGTGAACTCTATATTATTGTTAAATAATTGAAGTGGTGTACTTGTTGATGCATGAATGTAATGTTGGGTCTTTTTTGAGGCTGATATGTACATAGCTTTAGTTTTGTCTGTATTAGGTATCATAGCACTGTGAGTGCACCATTCTTGAATAGAGTGTAGGTCTTTTTGAAGTTTTACATTTAAAGTTTCATTGGAACGTCCTGTAGCACTTATTGTAGCATCATCTGCAAACATATCCATTTCTGAGTGTTCAAGATGTAAAGGTAAATCATTTATATAGATCAAGAATAAAATGGGCCCTAAGACAGATCCTTGAGGGACTCCAGCTGATACACCCAAAGACTCAGATATGGTGCCTGACACAGATACCTTCTGAGATCTTTCTGTTAGGTATGATTGGATCCACTGTAATGTATGATCTGAGATGTTATAACAACTAAGTTTTTCAATGAGTAGTGTATGGTTAACTAGATCAAATGCTTTTGTTAGGTCAAGAAATATGGTTCCTACAAGATTGTTGTTATTGATTTGATCAATCCAGTTGTCTACTATGGATGTTAGACCAGTTTCACAAGAGTGACTTGTTCTAAACCCAGATTGTTTTTGATGAAAAAGGTTATTGTCTTCAAGAAATTGTTTGAGACTATCAGATACATGCTTTTCAATGATTTTTGATAAAACAGGTAAAACAGAGATTGGTCTATAGTTATTTTTATCAAATTTAGACCCTTTTTTTGTAGATTGGAATTACTTTAGCCATTTTAAATGCGGTAGGAAATTTACCTGTATCAATACTTAGGTTAATTATTTTAACCAAATGGCTTGAGATAACATGGCAGCTTAGTTTTAAGAAACGAGCACTTATTTGGTCAAGGCCAGTTGCTTTGCTACAGTCTAGAGTTTCAAGCACGTTCCTCACAAATTTTTCAGATATTGGAGGAATTCGAAACAATTGGTCAGTTTTGAAACAATTTGAATTATGATCTCTTAGTCTAGTTTTATATGATTCGGGATAGTTTTTGACATTAGGTGCCCTTTTAAAAATACTTGTGAAGAATTCATTAAATTTTGTTGCGCTTTCAGCAGGATCAGTGATTGGTTCTCCATTTTCATCGTTAATGAATTGAGTTTGAGTATTAGTATTTTTCCCTGATAGGTGTTTTAAATTTTGCCACATTTTCTTTGTATCTTTTTTATTTTCATTGATTACTGTGTTGAAAAAATTCTTTTTAGCTTCTGCAGTAAGTTTCTTGACTTTTGAACGAAGTATTTTATAAGTATCATATTTTACGGCCTGTTTTGCTTTATCTCTTTCTTTAATTGTTTCGGCTATTTCATGAGTGAACCAGTCTGGCTGATTTACATATTTAACTCGCCTTGTTATGTGTGGTGCATGTTTGTTTAGGACTGATGTTAAGGTATTAATAAAATAGTCTAATGCATCATCAGTATCTGTAAATATGTCAAGTACTGACCAAGGTTGATTTTGTAATTCAATGAGATATTCATTTTCATTAAAAGTTTTCATATTTCTATAAGTTATTACAGAATGTACAGGTCCATGTTTAGGCTTATGTCTAGACTTGCGCACAAAACAGACTGAGTAGTGATCACTAAGTGTAAGGACCGGTACATGTATTTTATGTATATTATCAGGAACATTTGAATAGATATGATCAATTATAGTAGATGTAGTGGAAGTAACTCTGGTTGGTGTTTTAACAAGTTGATGGAGATTGAATGTATCTGTAACATGATTCCATGTGTTATTAATTGTTGCTGAATTGACATAATTATAGTTAAAGTCTCCAAATAGAATTAATTCTTTGCCTTCTAGAAAAATCTTTTCAAGTATTTCTTCAATATCTGTATTCCAGCTAGAAGGTGATGAGGGAGGTCTATAAATATATCCAACAAGGAAAGATTTTTGATTTTCACATTTAACCTCAATCCATATTGCTTCTATTGTTTGTCTATTCAAATCTGTCCTGTGATAGCAAGGGTAACACTGTTTTGTATATAATATAACACCACCTCCATTCGAACCTCTATCACAACGGAATAACTGATAATTATCTAAAACATATTCACTGTCAGAATAATTTTCATTAAGAAATGTTTCACATAGGCCAATAAAATCTAGTTCTTTTACATTATCAATTATGGGGGATTGTCCCCCACTCAACTGAAAAATGTGGGGGATTTGAAAAAAATGTGGGGGACATGCATTTACCAAACAATATTACATACCTGAAAGAATTCATTTATCCTACATTTAGGCATTTTTAACAGCTATCCTACGCTAAACAGCGGCAATAAAAAATAAAATTTTGACGAATACTACAATACACACTCGAGATGACCAAGTAGCTGCTGCACACAATTAAAGTCATAGCCGCGAGTGAAAAAAAACATAGCTGAAGCCTTCAATCAGCTCGATCAAGATATGATGAAGATAACTGAAAAGAAAGATTGTCAGATGCGCGACTTGGCGCACATAGCCTTCATAAAAATTTGCGATCTGCAAATAATATGCGCAAATCGCGCAATTTTGTGGCCTAGATGCAACACTGGGTTTTTGAGCAATTTCGATATGACATTGCTTTGCCCAGAAGCAAAAATATCTCAAAGTGATGTCATATTTATAGGACTAGATACAATGGGTTTTCACTATATAACTTAACATGATTTACGTAAAAATGACTTTTCAATTTTGACTTATACTGGACTAGTCACATTCTGCCGATTTGGCGAGTTCAACCCCTTGTCTATATGTTATATGTAAACTTTTTTTCTAGAATTACTTAACAGTAACACTGTGCCGGTCCCTTTGCTTTAAAACGGGTAGCACGAAATACCCAAATACACCCAAATATACCCAAATATTGCCCAAATATACCCAAATATTGCCCAAATATCCTAAAAATAAATGTTTTATACTAAAAAGGTGTTGTTTTAACCGTGAATACAATAAGCACTATCACTAAGATATAATCAAACATACCCAAATATACATTTTCCTATCATTGTATACAGTATATCTAGTATGTACTCCATTAAAGCTATTTTTTTTTAAATAACATGGACACTTGTATAATTATGATATGAAATTTCAACAAAATTACACCTTAAAAATGTAAGTAGACAACAAATATCATATCTTGATTTAAAATTACAAGTACTTTCATAAAGAACCTATAAACATGTAGTAGATAAGCAAATGTCACAACTTTATTTTCTTACATCTTAACTGCCCATTTCAACGGAATGAATGCAAGTTATAGCAGACTAAGTCATATTATTTTATAAATGATTATTTACTTCTCATTATAATCTATATTTTATACAAACAAAAATAAAAATTGCTATATTTGGGTATATTTGGGTGTATTTGGGTATATTTGGGTATTTCGTGCCGCCGCTTTAAAACGCAGGTAAATCGATGTAGATCTACTCTGAAATTAAATTTAAAAAACACAACACACACACACACACACACAAATGCACCTAATAATACTCACCGTCATTTTTTATTTAACCTAAACAATCTGTATGAAAGGGTAAAAAGACCAAAAATATCCTAATAAACACTTTTTGTTGTTGTTGTTGTTGTTGTTGTTGTTAAAACCGGAAGAGTATTACTAATATAATTACACTATAAAACCTGTAAACGTTGTCGTCTCTTACTGGTGTCTGCAATGACGTAAACATAGCGTGCACACGTATTGGCTATCGGCTGTGCACGTAATATCCCTCGCATGTCGCGTGTGCACATAGTAAATAAGCTTATTATTTATATGACACCGGAATTTCCAGCGTTCATTTTTCAGCACTATGTCGAAAGACATATAAATGACGGACACTATTATATCTGGAAGGAAAATCAGTGTAGGAATATAATCGGAACCACTCACCGGGAAAAAGATTAGCTCTATATGAAGAATGATCCCGAACTAATAAATGAAGAATCTGAAACTTCTGTACAGTGCGAATGACCATAGAAAATATTTCATGATCAGTCACAACGAAAGTGATCTGCATCTTACGGGAATCGAACCCAGGTAGTCTGATTCACAGCCAAACGCTCTACCTATTGAGCTAACCGTACGGACTACATGTATCTGTAGTCTACGCTTTAATGAGGGTCCATCAGCCCTTTCAGGCACTGAGAATATGGACCTCGGACTGTCACCAGTCATAACGTTTGTATACTTAATAAACAAGACTCGGGTCAAGTTTTGCAGAAATCTAACCTTTTCTCTAAAAAAGGAAGTTTGTTGTATTATAAATTCATTATGAATATGACAGGTTATATATGACCGTATTTATATAAACAGTTGTTTGCAATATAACTCGGGTTATCTTTCCAAACAACCGTTTGTATAGGGACATATAACCTGTCAAAATCTGTAATTCTAATAGTATAACAGAAAAAAATACATATGCAAAACTATGCCGGCTATGTTGAAATAAAACTGTTTCACCCGAACTCATTTCCACTATATGTGTTGCAGGACTTCATATAGTTTAACTAGTCATCTATAAAAGCATCTTCTTTAATTATTAACATGAAGTCATTTTCTTGGCCTAATTTATGAAGTGCCTATTTCAAAATCATTCAACTGGAACATTTTAAATATCTATGGTAACAGTACGTAGGCGTAACTTAAAAAAGTTTTTCGTGACTTCCATGCTCTTGTCAAAACTTATAAATATACATGAATTTTCGTACACCTGATGGTTATTCAATAAGTTTTAATTTGAAATAGTTTAATGTATTTGTTCATTATAATTTTTGTAAAGCCTAACATTATTTTTGTCATTTTGTAACATCCCTTTATTGTTACTATATATAGTATGTTATAAGTCATGTATTCTTCGTGCAAAGTGTGTTTTCAGTGAAGAGTAGCTGGACATGTATAAGCTGGCATTTTAGGTGTTTTGAACAGATACCAAAGGTAGCGTATATCTTAGATCTATTAAAGACTCTGAATTACCGTGATGAATCGAAACTTGTTTACCAAAATATTGCTCTCTGTTAGCGAATAATTTCGTTTCTAGAGATAATATTCGAAATGTGATGTACGGTGGAATAGAGGTGACATTTGCCACGAGATAATAAGCTGATAAGTCGTGGCCACAAGATAATAAGTCGTGGCCACGAGTTTAATTCTTGAGGCCACAAGATAATAAGTCGTGGCCACAAGATAATAAGTCGTGGCCACGAGATAATATCTTGAGGCCTCAAGATAATAAGTCGTGGCCACGAGATAAAATTAAACTGCAAATGTCACCTCTATGCCACCGTAGTGATGTATAACCATCTATGTAAAGTATATTCATTTTCAAATGTTGATATGTGACGTCATGAAATAAGAAATATTCATGTATATGTATAGGATGTTGAATGAGTGTATGTTCAGTACTGAATTTATTGAACGAGCTGATTACGTTTTATTCAACAAGTTCGATAATTAAAGTAATAAAGCAACACGAATATGATATTTTGCTATATATTTGTCACATACCCAAAATAAGGTCTGCTTACAGAAGTAATCTTTTCTTCACTTTTTTCATTGACGGGCGCTTATTTGTTAATAAAAAACTTTTAATACAGTCATGTCGTTCCATCATATAAATTTCTCTGATTCCAGAGTCGATATACCTATTATTTATATCAAGCCTATGTTCCGTTTAATGACACCTCCTGTATTTTACCAATAAAAATCTAGAACGCCCCTGTGCATTTACACCTTGGTAATAACAAAGGACGGATCATAGCGTTGTTTGCAATTCATTAAAAACACACACAATTATTCAGGTTTAAACATGAGTAAAGACGCTACATACAAAGTAACGTATTTTCCTGGAAAAGGTGGCGGAGAAATACTAAGGCTTGTTCTAAGTGCCAAAGGGGTGAAGTTTGAAGATGTTCGTTTACCGAGGGAGGAATGGATGAAAGTAAAAGCAGGTGAGTCCTTTTTTCAAAATAAATTATTTAGTCATTATATGAGCTATAAGCTGTAATCCAAATAAAACCGGATTTTGTCATGTTGAATGACGAGAGAGGGGAGTTGAATGGTACCACCAAGACACTCTTTGTTACACGACGAAAGCATGTGTGTCCAATAATGTATTGTTCCTATCTTTGGCACTGTTGAAAGTCCCATTATACTCGAGAAATTCTTTCATTTTCATTTCTCAAAAGCTTTTAATTTGGTATTCATTGTCCAATTATCTAAGCTATCTTTTTCTTTCTGTTGCTTTTTGGCAATCAGTACAGTAATAAAGATATAGCATAATCAAATTGGTTAATTATCCAGTGCGCAGGACTTGATTACCTCGTGCGCACGACTTAATAGCTCGTGACCACTGCATAGTATCTCCTGCCCTTGACTTTATTTACTCGTGCGCACGATTTAGTAACTCGTGGCCACGACATAGTATATCGTGTGCAACACTTAACTATCTCGTGCGCACGACTTAGTAACTCGTGGCCACAACATAGTATCTCGTGTGCATCACTTTATTATCTCGAGCGCACGACTTAGTAACTCGTGGCCACGATATAGTATCTAATACACACCACTTAATTATCTCGTGCGCACGACTTAGTAACTCGTAACCACGACATAGTATCTAGTGTGCAACACTGAATTATATCGTGCGCACGACTTAGTAACTCGTGGCCACGACATAGTATCTCGTGTGCATCACTTAATTATCTCGAGCGCACGACTTAGTAACTCGTGGCCACGATATAGTATCTCGTGCGCAACACTTAATTATCTCGTGCGCACGACTTAGTAACTCGTGGCCACGACATAGTATCTAGTGTGCAACACTGAATTATCTCGTGCGCACGACTTGGTAACTTGTGGCCACGACATAGTATATTGTGTGCAACACTTAATTATCTCGAATGCACGACTTAGTAACTCGTAGCCACGACATAGTATCTCGTGTTAAGCACTTAATTATCTCGAGCGCACGACTTAGTAACTCGTGTGCAACACTTAATTATCTCGTGCGCACGACTTAGTAACTCGTGGCCACGACATAGTATCTCGTGCGTAACACTTAATTATCTCGAGCGCACGACTTGGCTAGTTGTGCCCACGACACAGTATCTTGTGTGCACGAGATAAATATAAACACACATGTCACATCTATGCCACTGTATAATATATATTTTTTATGCTACAGATAACTCGAGGCCCTTTTTCTAAAAAAGTACAAATTTATTTATTTCTGAGGCATAAAGTGCCTGCATGTTAAGTGTTTATTTTAGTCATTTAAAATCACAATAATGCGACGTTCATATAGAAAAAAAACCGTTGCATTTGTTAGAAATTTGATACATTTGTATTGTGTAAAAAGATATACATGTTTGGGCAGGTATACTTGGTTTGGGTTATAAGGCAACCGTGAATAATAGGTAGTCTAGTATACATGCGTACATTTTTAAATTATATGTACATTTTCATAAAACCCCAGGTATTAAATGCTCAGATCGTTTGTTCTTTGTCTGTCTATAGTTTACCTGTGGAAAAGCATGAATCGATTCGGAAAATAACCGCGGGTAGGCGCAGGGTTGAATAGAAAGGAGATATAAAGAGGAAGGCCTAGTCAAGTTACAAAATATCTGTAATTACAAGTATTACTTTTAGTATTAAAGCGAACACAATATCCATGATTTATTAAACAATCTATGACCAGTTAAATATGAAATTCCGCTTTAACGTCGGTAAACTAATGAAATTATTTACATTTTAGCGGACGGTCCAGGATGTCCACCAACTAAACAGCTGCCTTCCCTGACGGTAAATGAGAATGGAAAAGAAACTGTTCTAGCCCAATCAGGCGCATGCGCAAGATTCCTTGCAATGAAATTCGGTTCGTGTTTTTTATGATTTAGTTTATAAATGTGATTTTGAGAAAATGATAACAGATATAAAATGACGAAATTCGTACTGTTTTTATCTATTGTGAAAGTTTAATATTAAAGCAGCACGCCTCCAGATGAGCAGAAAATATTTCAATAAAACAAACTTGTGAAAAATGTAGGCTTTTATGCCAAGTAGAAAGATTCAAGACTCAAGTAATAATTTACATGTTATAAGCGATTAATGAGCTAGTAATGGTGTTATTTTCATAATGTGTAACTATATTTCTACTGCATAACTAACGCAAGGGCACATTATGACATCTTTTTGTAATAAACGTGGGTTGTAAGTGCCATTGAAAATGTGTAAAATGATTCCTTTTGGTTAATATAAAATAATATTCATTTAATTCCATCTTCAAACTTTTCATGAAGATAAGCATAAATCTGAAGGTTTTAAGTTGAAAGACATTTTACGATATTTCAGGATTTTTCGGTTCTTCACCGGAAGAGATGGTAATAGTTGACGAAGCTTATGAAACTGCCATGGACGTTCAAAGAGAATTGTTCAAAATCGTATTTCAACAGGACCAAGGAGAGAAGGTTTGAAAGTTATAGTTAAACCACTTGAAAAATGTTTTCACAATCTGCAAAATTAACCTTAAGTCATGACCAAGTCAAAACCAAGTGAAATTCCTTTGGAATGTGAATTACCCTTTGTCGACATTTGCGACTCCCTTTGTAATAAAACAACACCAGGATCCGCGCTTGAGGCAGGTAGATTTATCTAAAATTTGATAAGAAAGATACTGGTTTAGTACTCGTTTTTTCCTTTTTTTGTTTAGAAAGTTTTACTTTCCTATTTTGAGAATAACGCATTCTATAAAATAGCTTTTCAGTAAAACTGCTAACCTTGTACAAGGTCTCACAAAGCACGAGACCTGTCCAAGGTCCTACATAGCACGAGACCTGTCCAAGGTCCCGCATAGAACGAGACCTTTCTAAGGTCCCGCATAGAACAAGACCTGTCCAAGGTCCTGCATAGCACGAGACCTGTCCAAGGTCCCGCATAGAACGAGACCTGTCTAAGGTCCCGCATAGCACGAGACCTGTCCAAGGTCCCGCAAAGCACGAGACCTGTCCAAGGTCCCGCATAGAACAAGACCTGTCCAAGGTCCTGCATAGAACGAGACCTGTCCAAGGTCCTGCATAGCACGAGACCTGTCCAAGGTCCCGCAAAGCACGAGACCTGTCCAAGGACCCGCATAGAACAAGACCTGACCAAGGTCCTGCATAGCACGAGACCTGTCCAAGGTCCCGCAAAGCACGAGACCTGTCCAAGGTTCCGCATAGAACAAGACCTGTCCAAGGTCCTGAATAGCACGAGACCTGTCCAAGGTCCTGAATAGCACGAGACCTGTCCGTCCCGCATAGAACGAGACCTGTCCAAGGTCCCGCACAGCACGAGACCTGTCTAAGGTCCTGCATAACACGAGACCTGTCCAAGGTCCCGCATAGTACGAGACCTGTCCAAGCTCCCGCATAACACAAGACCTGTCTAATGTCTCGCATAGCACGAAACCTGCTCTACATTGACTTGGGAACAGCTTATTAGAAGCGTAAAGGATTTCTTTACCGAAATTTCAAACTTTAGACAGACAATAGTATGAATGTTAATGCTGCACGGATACTTCATATACATGTATCTGGTATAAAATTTAAATATCTTTTGAAAGTTTTAATTATCTTTCACAAAACAAAATAACTGCGAAATAAAGTTGTGACCCGATATTTATTTGTATATTTTCAGGCTAAACTTACAGAGGAGTTTAAAACAGTCTCCCTTAAAAGGTTGGAAGATTATGTCAAAAATAGGTCAGATACATATGGACAAGATGGGTACCTTGTTGGAAAATCGGTACACTTTTAATCTGCTTTTACTTCAAACAGTAACGTATAATAGAATCATAGCAAATATAGCAATTACATAACGTAATAAAAACATTGAAAGCGCTTACAGAGATAAACGTATATACAAATGTAACGTAATCTATATATAGTCTTCATTTCCAAAAAAACTATTTTTAAAAATGAGATCCGCACAAGGAATTGAACGTCTTTTTCATACATGGTTTATATATACCTGCTTATATATACATGAACACGAGTCGCTTCTGTGATTGTACATGACCACAACTACTGTTTTGTTAAATTCCATTGTAATGCTTTCCAGCCATCGGCCAATATCGTAATAAATCGGTCATTTCCGGAACGTTAATTTTCACAATCTTCAATATTAAATAATTTTAACCGTTTATTACATAACGATTGTAAATGATCTAATGCCCAATATTTTGAAAAACTAACGTTTCGGAAATAAACGACTTGCTACGATATTTGCAGATGTTCTATTTTTATTTTTTTTGCGGGAAAGCATTCATTAAGACTTCCATAATCAAGTTGTCTCATCGGATACACTGACTATGACCCTGGTTGTGTCCTTTTCACCGGGAGTGCCTTTTAGAAAAACATTTAGAAGCCAAGTTTATTATTCATGCAATTAAGTTACTTATTAAGTTTATAACATAATTATATAATGTGAGTAAAGTATATGCCTGGCTTACTAGACCTTCGTACTCAGAATTACAAAGCGATTTATGTGACTGAGCTGCTGTAAAAAATCAACTTTAAGTGATATATTGATTATAACTCTTCACCACGTGACACTTCTTAGCCACTCCCAAATCAGGACTATTGCATAATCACTGTCGACTATGGAACGCCGTGACTGTCTTATGTTATTAATGTTTTTGCTATCTTGTGAAACGATAATATTATTTTGTCGTTTGAGCATGTTAACATGTGCAAATTACATCACGTCTTGCCAAAGGAACATGCTGACTTGTACAAACAGATGTTAACTTGTCAAATTATTATGATGAAATGTGCAGACAATATGCTAACTTGTCAAAGTATCGTGATGACTTGTGCAAACAACATGTTAACTTGTCAAAGTATAATGATGACTTAAGCAAATGACATGGTAACTTGTCAAAATGTAATGATGACTTGTGCAAACGACATGTTAACTTGTCGAATTATTGTGATGTCATGTGCAAACAGCATGTTAACTTGTCAAAGTGTCATGAAGACTTGTGCAAACGCCATGTTAACTTGTCAAAGTTTAATGATGACTTGTGAAAACGACATGTTAACTTGTCGAATTATCGTGATGACATGTGCAAACAGCATGTTAACTTGTCAAAGTATCATGATGACTTGTGCACACAGCATGTTAACATGTCAAATAACCATGATGACTTGTGAAGACAACATGTGAACTTGTCAAAGAATCGTGATGACTTGTGCAAATGACATGTTATCTTGTATCATACTGACATGTCAAACCGTACTGTTAACTTGTCAAAGTATCATGATGACTTGTGCAAACGACATGTTAACTTGTCGAATTATTGTGATGACATGTGCAAACAGCATGTTAACATGTCAAAGTGTCATGATGACTTGTGCAAATGCCATGTTAACTTGTCAAAGTTTAATGATGACTTGTGCAAACAGCATGTTAACATGTCAAATAACAATGATGACTTGTAAAGACAACATGTTAACTTGTCAAAGAATCGTGATGACTTGTGCAAATGACATACTGACATGTCAAAATTCCATGATGACATGTGAAAACAGCATGTTAACTTGTCGAATTATCGTTATGACATGTGCATACAGCATGCTAACTTGTCCAAGTATCATGATATCTTGTGCAAACGACATGTTAACTTGTCCAAGCATAATTATGACTTGTGCAAATGCTATACTAACTTGTCAAAATTTCATGATGACATGTGCAAACAGTATGTTAACCTGTCAGATCATCGTGATAACATGTGCAAACAACATGATATCTTGTCAAAAGTATCATGGTGACTTGTGAAAGCGACATGTTAACTTGTCAACATTTCATGATGACATGTGCGAACAGCATGTTAACTTGTCAATGTATCATGATGACTTAATTGTGCAAATGCCATGTTAACTTGTCAATGTATCATGATGACTTGTGCAGACAACATGTTAATTTGTCAAAGAATCGTGATGACTTGTGCAAAAGACATGTTAACTTGTTAAGGTATTATGAGCATGTCATCACGATAATTCGACAAGTTAACATGCTGTTTGCACATTTCATCACGAAATCTTGACAAGTAAACATGTCGTTTGCACAAGTCATCATGATATTTTGACAAGTTAACATGTCGTTTGCACAAGTCATCATGATACTTTGACAAGTTAACATGTTGTCTGCACATGTCATAATGATTATTTGACAAGTTAACATGCTGTTTGAACAAGTCAGCATTGTCTTTAGACAAGATATGATTTTATTGCACATGATAATATGCTTAATTGACAAAATTATATCATCGTTTCACAAGATAGCAAAAACATTGATAACATAAGACAGTCACGGCGTTCCATAGTCGACCAACATATGAAAAGCGTTTATCTAAGGTGGCTGATTAGGAACGCTTTTGTGTGACGTGATGGTACTAGCGACAACCGGACAAAGCGCCAAACGGCGCGTTGTCGGACTTTCGTCTTGTCGTCCTCTCCTAATGATGTACGCCAAACGCGACATTGTCGTGCAGCGTGTTGTCGCGTTGTCACGTTGTCGCTCGGTTTAAATCGAAGGATTTGATTATCGAAGCCAAGCGACAGAGTGACATCGCGACAACGCGCCGCACGACAACGCGCCGTTCGGTGTGCTTCGCTAGAGACAGGACGACAGCACGTACCGTTTGGCGCTTTGTCCTGTTGTCGCTAGTGACAAGACTAAATGCAATAACGATATAGGTTGCGTTGTCGGTATCGACAACGCAACGCGCATTGTACCAAATCAGCCACCACATTTATCTATTGTTTTTAAAATTTCAGACAACCCTTGCTGACTTGCAGTTGTATAATGTGATTGACCAGACGATAGATAGGCTGGGGGCTGATGTTTTCGCGCCTTACCTTGAACTCAAGAAACACATGGAAAAGGTGAAATCAGACCCAAAGATAGCTAAATGGACCAAAGAAATGCCACCACCTCAGTTTTAGTGATTGAATGACAGTTTTATAAAGATTAGCATTAATATGCTTTATAATTAATGTTGTGTTTAGGTTTGTAGTCGTTTCCGATAAAAGTAACGATTTTTATTCATTTGGAAGTTATTCGTCTTCAAAGAAGAGATTTTTTTTTAATTTCATTAATAGAAACGCAACGTTTCAATTCTCATCCTTTCTATACTTACTCTGAAATAAACTATACATGTATTTACATGATACTTTGTTCCATGTTTTGTTCCTATTTAGAACATAAGGTATTGTAAGCCAAGAAAGAGAACAATTTTAATGTCTGTATAGCGTCCCAGCTTTTTCTCCATGAAAATGTGAGCCATGAAAGACAACACCCTTGATATTTGATGATAACCTAGATTTTATCTGACATTTCATTAAATGTTATTTACAAGTCAAATATATAATGAAATGATTGTCTCCCGACACTCCTGATAAACTAGCACCTGACATTCCATTCCATGTTATAAGCCACGTGGCAATTAATAAATGTCGCCTGATTTTTTTTGATAATCTAATCCCTGACATTCCATTCCATGTTATAAGCCACGCGGCAATTAATAAATGTCGCATGATTTTTTTTGATAAACTAGTACCTGCCATTCCATTTAATGTTATAAGCCACGCGGCAATTAATACAATGTCGCCTGAATTTTTTGATAATCTAATCCCTGACATTCCATTAAATGTTATAACCCTCGCGACAATTAATAAATGTCGCCTGAATATTTTGATAAACTAGTACCTGCAATTCATTCCATTAAATGTTACAAGCCACTGGTGATTAAGTAAGTGTCGCTTGATTTTGTGATAAATTTGTACCTGACATTCCATTCAATGTTACAAGCTACGCGGTAATTAACCAAAGGTTGCCTGAATTTTTTCACAAACTAGTATCTGACATTACAGTAAATGTTACAAGTCACTGGCGATTAACTAAAGGTCGCCTTAATTGTTTGATAATTGTTGTACCTGACATTCTATTCAATGTTACAAGCCACGCGGCAATTAATAAATGTCGCCTGAATTTTTTGATAAACAAGTACCTGACATTCTATTAAATGTTAAAAGCCACAGGTGATAAACGTAATGTCGCTTGACATTCCCGGGATACACTAGATATTCCATTACATGTAACTAAAAAGCCAAATGAGCCGCGTCATGACAAAACCAACATAATCCGTTTGCGACCAGCATGGATCAAGACCAGCCAGCGCTGATCAGGATCCATGCTGTTCGCTATCAGTTCCTCATTGCAATAGAATCAATTTACACATGGAACTAGTTAGTATGTATTAGTTAAAGGCTTATGAAGAAAATATTTATATGAGACCTCAAGCGACGGATTGTTTGTTAAAATACCTTGTGGGTTATGCCCCCAAGGTCTTTTCCCCACTTTTCCTTTTAATTTTGAAATGAACTGCAAAATAATTTCTGGTAATTCTAAATTTAAGTAATTCTAGCTTTTATCGGCTGCTACATTTTATGTTTATATTTAAAGATCCTATATGTTTTGTGATTGATATTGTAACTGTGTGTATCACATACTTGCAAAATATTATGTATGTATATAATTATGCAAATAAAACAATTTTCAAACATCCAAGAATATGTAAAATGTGTACTGTATATATTTGTACACATTATATTTAATCAATAAGTTACATGCATTCATTTCTTATTGGAAAATTTGACTTAAAATTTATAGAAAATAAATTTCTAATTACCTCCTTTATTTACGCGAAATGTTAAATTGGGTAATATCTTTATAGATAATGCTTATTTGAACTTACAAGATTGACAAATCTTAATTTGAGCATCATATTTATGAAATAAAACCATGAAAAAAATGTGTTACAGGATCTTTAAGTCGCGCACGTTCATTATTTATCAACGGATACGACACGGGGAGGGAAAATATGTTGATTTTACATATCATTTGTTGTTAATGAAAACAATAAAAAAATCTACAAAACAACAATTTTTCTTCAAAATGATTTGTCAGGCCATGTTTTAACATGGAAAAACGCGATTTTTAGTAATTTCAGGTAATTTCATCATTTTTTGTTAATGAAAGAAATATAAAAAATTCTACAAAACAACATTTTTTCTTCAAAATGATATGTCAGTCCATGTTTTAACATGGAAAAAACGCGATTTTTAGTAATTTCAGGTATTTTCGTAAATCAGAAATTGTACATTCTATAATACTCAAACCAATTTATTTTATCTCCGTCTCTACTTAAATATTGTGCTATTTTCGTGTCTGGGCAATATCTCGCCTCTTAAAGCGAGATTCTGCCCCACAGAACCAAGCTTTAGCACGTCAATATATTTTGACTACATCTCTACGCTAATGCACTGGTGCGTCAAGCAGAGGAGTTAAAACTTTTTATGTTCTATTGAATGACCTACCTGACCTACCTGTATAGAACTAGTACGCAAATATTTTAGATCTAGTACACGAGTCGGTGGATTCAGTTACATTCATTCAAAAACATGGCTACATACAAGGTCTCCTATTTTCCTAGTAAAGGAAACGCAGAAATCTTACGGCTTGTTTTAGTGATTGCTGGACAGGACTTTGAGGATGAGAGGCTGACCAGAGACGAGTGGGCGAAGGTCAAGGACGGTAAGCAAAATTTATAATAACCGTTTTTCAAAGATATAGAACGCGAGTACTGATATTTTATTAATGCGCTGTTTTAAAAATGGATATCTTTAAAAGACGATTTTTTATTCATCTTTTGAAAAGATTCGTGCTTTATCTAATTAGTAACTTGAGTTCCACACTCCAAGTGTCTGTACGTGGTTCAAACTTTAGACCAAAAGTCAGAATAGTACACCCTGGTCCAGACGTTTTTAGTCTTGTCAATGATGGATTTAAAAAAAGACTCTTGTAGTAACGGTCAATATATTCATGGCCGACAACTTTTGCGGAACTAGTTAAAGGTTCATCTAAAGATATCTTCATACGGTATTGAACCGTTGACGTAGAAAATTAGAAATAAAAAGCATAGAAATTGAAAAATCTTTACTACAAATAGCAGTTATACATCGTTTTTGTTAATGTAGATTTAGAAACAAAATGATGCTTTTTTTACCGCTGATGTGCCAAGAATGTACATGCATGTACATGTTTTTAGATAGTAACGCAAAATATTGTGGTTTAACATTAAAATAACTATACAAGATAACAGTTAAATTTGCACATAGGAATAACCTATTTAAACTTCTTGGTAATTTAGAAATGCTTAATAATGAGCTGGCCCATACCGCGGCATTCACGTATATGCACCCCGCTATCATCGACTGGACCGGAGATAGCGGGGAAAACCGGCCAATAATATCTTCCGTCTCTCCTTGCACAGCCGGTCAATGCGCTTGTTTTTGCTTTATTCGTACTTCTTACACTTTTGTTTTTGCCATCCTCGAAGGTTAGTGGTCTGGGTGCATAATTATGCTTTATCTAAAATGTTATTTTTTTCTTCTATGCCTATATGTTCAACGATTATAGTCTTGAAGATTACTTCTATTACTAGTATGTTCTAGTATGTTTAGCAGCAGCCGATATTTGTCGTCTGCATACAGCAATGTGTGAGATATATTCTGTTTGAATTACAGCGTCGCCTACGAAGCAGATGCCGTTACTCACTGTAAATGGTACTGTGTATGGACAATCGGCAGCTTGTGCCAGATATTTGGCACGAAAATTTGGTAGGCATTTCAGTTGTATGACATAAGTTTGAACTATCTTACACCAAAGAACGAGTTTTTCATGATTTTAATGCTATCCAACGCTTATATCAATCAATCTTATATCTATCAATCAATCAATCAATCAATCTGATCAAACAAGCCAGCGGCTCTTGGTTAAGAATGACGTTTCGGATTATGACACCGGGAATCTTGCTATAAGCAGCATAAAGAAGATAGTATCTTGTTACAAAAACTTTTCTACAATGCGAGATAAACGCAATGATAATAATGCCCATGAATAGGTTACAAATGTCCCTCATCTACTTGTTATGACTTTTACTCTTCGTTGTCCATAATACAATGAAAAGCTTTTATCTACTGTAGTCAATAATTTGCAAATAATAGGCATTTACTTGTTGATAAAAAATCTTAATTTCATTCAAAATCGTAGTGTTATTACATCTTCCGTTTTAAAGGCACACACGTTTTTATTTATTACATGTAGTTTACAAATCAGACAAGTGTATTATTTTATGCTTTAGGATTGTTGGGATCAACCCCCGAGGAGGAACTTCTGATAGACGAAGCATATGAATGCATTGCCGACTTTCTGAAAGAAGTCCTTAAACTTTTCTATGAAAAGGATGAAAAAGCGAAGGTAAACACAAAAGCATTGAAAGGCAATAACAATGATGATGATGATGATGATGATGATAATGATGATAATGGTAATAATGATGATGATGATGATGCTTGTTGGTTAAGCAAGATCGAGGAATATGACAGGAATAATATCATATTGTAGGTCTGAAAAGAACGTTCGTTTGTCTGTTTGTCTGGTTGCCCGTTACATAACTTCAGTAACTGTGACGGATTTTAATGAAAACTTTGGTAAAAGTTTACCACAATGAAATGATGTTAAGAATGTAAGCGGCTGGTATATAATTATGCTCAGACTTGATGGTATTCACTATGTGCTCCTATACCTTACAACACTAGAAAGAAAGATTTTTATGATACTATGTCATATTTAAATACATTGAGACGGTATGTACAAAAAGCATAATGCAGCCACTGCAAGTCAAGGTCAATGTCACTCTTAAAGGTCAGTTGTTCATTTTGTTCTGCTCAAAATCTCAGTATATCCTTAGAAAATGTTAATGAAACTTATTTAATAGGTATATAACGTCTTAAGACAATGTACTTGGCAATTTTATTTTTGAAGCTCACCTTGAAAATTTCAATCGCCCCAAAATTAATGTCAGTGTTGTTTTTTTTAAAGACAGTATAAAATTTTTAACTGATTATTACTTATTTTTGATAGGAAGACCTTAAACAAAAGTTGACCACAGAAAATGCTCCAAAACTCAATGAATACATCAAACTTCGATCAAAGCTCGGCGGAAACGGTTTCATTATTGGTAAAAAGGTACGTATTGCATTTATAATGACAAACTCTGACGCAGTGGTCCCCTTTGCGTCGCTACTGCGCAAACGCCAAACTCCTCGCAGCGGTTACTTCCCCTGATCTGTACAGTAACCACTGCCACCACAAGTAAATTCGGTCGAATATAGCCGGATATATTTTTTTCACTTTTAATTTTAAAATATAATACTTTATATCATTTTAGTTTTCTTTCGTTAAATAGTTATGCTTAATGTACAAGAAAGTAAAAAATTATACGTATAAAACTTATTTTGTAAACATAACGAAAGATATTTTCACTGTGACACCGTATGCATAGTAACAACCAGTAAACAATGGCAGAATAGAAACAGTTATTGAACGATTGCACAAAAAGATTTGATCCGGCACTTGTTTTAAAGTGATAACAAATTGTGTGTCTTGAACTAATTTTGTCTGGTAAGGATGTAATTATAAATCTGCCAGTTTGATATGGGATCCTTGGCGTTCTGAAACTGGCCGCCATGTTTTTGTCACATGATACAACTATCATCACGTGATTTCAGTGGTGGCAGTGGTTAAAGTAGCAAAGCGTGACGTAACCGCTGTGAGGAGTTTGCGCAAACGCCTCACAGTGATTACCTTCCTTGGCAGATTGTGATCACCGCATAGGAGATTGATTTAAGCGTAGCCAATCAAATCACTTTGAGGAGTTTGTCGTAATGAACGTTTTCAAGCGATCAAGTTCTCGCGAACACCGTCATTTCCCGTATCTTATTTTGCATGTTGGACGAGTATAGCGAGTTTATTTCCTTTCTATGTGAAAGTACCAACTCAAACTTACGCCATGCAAGTTCAAGACTCAATGAATGAACTTATCAAAATATTTTTGTACTATCTCATCCAAAAATTAAAATAAGTAACAGTCTCTGTTGAAAGTCGCATGAATAGCGTGATATATATAAATTTACCAGTTCTCATGTTTATGGAATTTTTTAATACTCCCATCCGGAGATCCTGTGTGTTGTAATGAAGGATGTAACAACACTTGTGAAATTTTATATGTATATTATTATTATTCTAAAAAGCAATTTTCAAACATCCAAGAATATGCTAGATATATACTGCAAATGTTTATTCGCATTAAAATATGATGTAATCATTAAAATATATGCATTCATTTTTTGTTGAAAAGTTTGACTTAGACTTTATAGAAAAAGAATTTGTAATTACCTACCGTTATTAACATGAAATGTAAATTCGGTAATACCTTTACAAATAATGCTTTTTGGGACTTACAATATTGATAAATCTTCATTTGAGCATCATAATTATGTTATAAAACCATAAAAGATTTGAGTTCACATTAAGAAGGGACATACCTCAGCTACTAGTCCTCAAAAGTTTGAGTAAAATGTGAGGTAACTGGGTTCAAGGTCATGTATATATTTGATGAATATTTATTTGTAAATTGAATATGTTTCAATATCATCAAATAGCAATAACAAAACGCCATGACTGTATTTACATATTTTGGCATTTTTTCCGCCTGTAACTGTGAATGCGTAAATCTTTTTTTGAAAAGTTGGTACAGGTATCTGCACCGGGGGCATTTACAGTGTTTACGAAACATGTTCTTGTTCAATACCTTCTAAATAAATATTTTGAAATGTTTCACTACATTTGCATGCGGGCTTCATTATAATCTGATTATCATGCCAATTGTTAATCTATTAATAAAACATAGTGATAACAAACATTTGTTGTTTTATTTTCTTTTATTAAAGATCTCTCTGGCCGACATACAGATATATAATATAGTGGATCAATGTGAGGCAGGTTTCCCGGGATTATTTTCATCAGCAGCAGACATAAAGAAACACGCGGATGCCGTGAAATCTGATGCCAGGATACAAAAATGGATCGCAACAATGCCGAAAATACCACAATAAGTAGGAACTGAAACTTGATAAAATATGTTTATCAAACAGCGGACCAATGAACAAAGCGACGAATTTTCCAGGCCAATAATTCAAAGCATTTGCAGATTTATATTTTTGTACTAATATAACATTCTGAGACGATTATTTACAATAATTATTATACATGTACATTTACTAAGAAAATATCGTTGTAGAAGTGCTGTGTGAAACGAGTGGTAAATAAAGTGCCATGGAGAACAATTATTTTAAGCTTGTTACCTTGACCTTCACCAACAAACACCTTGGAAACCGGAAGTTCGTGTCAATTTTGACCAAACTTGTTGTTCTGTTTGCCAGTTGACGAAATTCACTCACAGAAACGTCTCTTTAATCATCTTTATGTACAGTTACTGTTGCTCAAATTAGTAGATTGAGTGTAAAATCCTTATTGTTTGGTGTAAATGACCATAATTTCTAATTCTAATAAATATATAAAGTGATAGTCAAAGTCAGAAGACCGATGTATTGTCACAATTTACAGAGCTATAGAAATGTTTGTAGTATACAAATGACATTGAGCTGTGTAGCATACCTAGGACCTCGAAATGTGTAGCATACCAATGACCTCGATGTGTGTAGTATACCAATGACCTCAAGATGTGTAGTATACCAATGACTGTGTGTAGCATACCAATGACCTCGAGGTGTGTAGTATACTAATGATTTTAAGGTGTGTAGCATACCAATGACCTCAAGGTGTGTAGTATACCAATGACCTCGAGGTGTGTAGTATAGCAATAACCTCGATGTGTGTAGTATAGCAATGACCTCGAGGTGTATAGTATACTTATGATCTCGATGTGTGTAGCATACCAATGACCTCAAGATGTGTAGTATACCAATGACCACAAGGTGTGTAGTATAGCAATGACCTTGAGGTGTGTAGTATAGCAATGACCTCGAAGTGTGTAGTATAGCAATGACCTCGAGGTGTGAAGTATAGCAATGACCTCGAGATGTGTAGTATAGCAATGACCTCGAGATGTGTAGTATAGCAATGATCTGTGAGTTGTGTAGTAAAGCAATGATCTCGAGGTGTGTTGTAAAGCAATGATCTCGAGATGTGTAGTATACTAATGACCTCGAGGTGTGTAGTATACCAATGACCTCGAGGTGTGAAGTAAATCAATGACCTCAAGGTGTGTAATATACCAATGACCTCGATGTGTGTAGTATAGCAATGACCTACACGTGTGTAGTATACCAATGACCTCAAGGTGTGTAGTATACCAATGACCTCGAGATGTGTAGTATACCAATGACCTCGATGTGTGAAGTATAGCAATGACCTCGAGGTGTATAGAATACTTATGATCTCGAGGTGTGTAGCATACCAATGACCTCGAGGTGTGTATTATACTAATGATCTCGAGGTGTGTAGCATACCAATGACCTCAAGGTGTGTAGTATACCAATGACCTCAAGGTGTGTAGTATACCAATGACCTCGAGGTGTGTAGTATACCAATGACCTCGAGGTGTGTAGTATACCAATGACCTCAAGGTGTGTAGTATACCAATGACCTCAAGGTGTGTAGTATACCAATGACCTCGAGGTGTGTAGTTTGCCAATGACCTCGAGGTGTGTAATTTACCAATAACCTCGGTGTGTAGTTTGCCAATGACCTTGAGGTGTGTAGGATACCAATGACCTCAAGATGTGTAGTATCCCAATGACCCCGAGGTGTGTAGTATACCAATGACTGTGTGTAGCATACCAATGACCTCGATGTGTGTAGTATACCAATGACCACAAGATGTGTAGCATACCAATGACCTCGAGGTGTGTAGTATAGCAATGACCTCGAGGTGTGTAGTATAGCAATGACCTCGAGGTGTGTAGTATACTTATGATCTCGAGGTGTGTAACATACCAATAACCCCAAGGTGTGTATTATACTAATGATTTCAAGGTGTGTAGCATACCAATGACCTCGATGTGTGTAGTATACCAATGACCTCAAGATGTGTAGTATACCAATGACTGTGTGTAGCATACCAATGACCTCGAGGTGTGTAGTATAGCAATGACCTCGAGGTGTGTAGTATAGCAATGACCTCGAGGTGTGTAGTATAGCAATGACCTCGAGGTGTGTAGTATAGCAATGACCTCGAAGTGTGTAGTATAGCAATGACCTCGAGGTGTGAAGTATAGCAATGATCTCGAAGTGTGTAGTATAGCAATGATCTCGAGGTGTGTAGTATAGCAATGACCTCGGGGTGTGAAGTATACCAATGACCTCAAGGTGTGTAGTATAGCAATGACCTCGAGGTGTGTAGTATAGCAATGACATCGAGGTGTGTATTATACCAATGACCTCGAGGTGTGTAGTATAGCAATGACCTCGAGGTGTGTAGTATACCAATGACCTCGAGATGTGTAGTATACCAATGACCTCGAGGTGTGTAGTATAGCAATGACCTACACGTGTGTAGTATACCAATGACCTCGAGGTGTGTAGTATAGCAATGACCTCGAGGTGTGTAGCATACCAATGACCTCAAGGTGTGTAGCATACCAATGACCTCAAGGTGTGTAGTATACCAATGACCTCCAAGGTGTGTAGCATACCAATGACCTCAAGGTGTGTAGTATAGCAATGACCTACACGTGTGTAGTATACCAATGACCTCGAGATGTGTAGTTTACCAATGATTTTGAGGTGTGTAGTATACCAATGATCTCGAGGTGTGTAGTATAGCAATGACCTCGAGGTATGTAGTATAGCAATGACTTCGAGGTGTGTGGTTTACCAATGACCTCGAGGTGTGAAGTATACCAATGACCTCGAGGTGTGTAGTATAGCAATGACCTGTGAGTTGTGTAGTAAAGCAATGATCTCGAGGTGTGTTGTATAGTAATGACCTGGAGGTGTGTGGAGTATACTAATGACCTCGAGGTGTGTAGTATAGCAATGACCTCGATCGAATGCTCTGTGTGTAGTATAGCAATGACCTCGAGGTGTGAAGTATACAAATGACCTCAAGGTGTGGAGTATACAAATGACCTCAAGGTGTGTAGTATAGCAATGACCTCAAGGTGTGGAGTATACAAATGACCTCAAGGTGTGTAGTATAGCAATGACCTCAAGGTGTGAAGTGTAGCAATGGTCTCGAGGTGTGTAGTATAGCAATGAGCTCGAGGTGTGAAGTATACGAATGACCCCGAGGTGTGTAGTATAGCAATGACCCTGAGGTGTGTAGTATACCAATGACCTCGGGCTGTGTAGTATAGCAATGACCTTGAGATATATAGTATGGCATTGTCCTCGAGGTGTGTATTATATCATTTATCGCATAACATCAAGTGGTGCACGCTTAATATCTTACGTTATATTTTATAAATAGATGAATAAATACATGTAAATGAAATAGAACTTCGTAGCCAAATATTTATAAAACGTTCCGTGCAAAACAACAATGTAAGCCTGATGTTACCAAATACGAAACAACAACAATAAATCAAATCACCAATGAACTTCCCTCACCGCTGTGGGTTCGAATCCCTACAGGGACTTTGGATTCTTTCATGTGAGGAAGCTATCCAGCTAGCTTCCGGAATGTCGGTGATTCTACTCAGGTGCCCGTTCGTGCCTGAAATAATGCACGGAGGGGCACCTGAGGTCTTCCTCCACCAGTAAAGCTGGAACGTCGCGATATGACCTATACTGTGTCGATGTGACGTAAAACCCAAAAAACAAACAAACAAACCAATGAACTTAAATGGTAGTCAATATTTATGTATTTATGTATATCACCAGATTGAATCTTACAATTTGTTATTCTTGAAGTAGTATAAAGTCAACTGAAGCTGATTGCAAATAGTATATGTATATATGATAATTATACATTATGTGAGAAAAAATGTGCCTGACCGGGACTCGAACCCGGTAACCTCGGAATACCGTGCCGCGGCTTTACCGACTGAGCTTTCAGGCCGCTTAAACATCTTCTCCCGTAAATAGTGAATAGTTCTGAACCGAGACATGCCCCCCTTCCATATTAAAATTCGTCTTCGAATTTCACAGAGTTACAGAGCAATGTAAATTAAACTCAGTCACGGTCTACCGCTGGGCGCCAAATGTCACAGGATGAGAAAAAATGTGCAGCCTGACCGGGACTCGAACCCGGGACCCTCGGAATACCGTATCGCGGTTACACATCATTTCCTCTAAATAGTGAACAGTTCTGAACTGTGACATTTAGAATCAATTTAGCATTTTAGAAACTGGCTAGTTAGTATGTACTGATGAGGAAAATAATCACAAGAGACCTCCGACGACAACGACCATATTAAAAGAAAGCCTTTGTCTAGGCCAAGTATGTTTACAGTCAAGGTCTTTTCCCCACATTTCCTTTAAATGTTGAAATGACACTGCAAAAAAATTCATGGTACTAAATTTAAGTATAGACCTTTATCTGCTGATACATGTATTGAAGTTGCGCGCGCATACGGGTAAAGCAGACGAACAACATTTGATTCATTTCTAAATAAAGAACGCTGCAGGTTAGGCTCGAGGCACAAATAGTAACGCATATTCAAAAGGGGATTTGGCATTTAGCTAGTTTTCTTATAGTGTCATGAGTCAAATATGCTGAATTTTCTCTAAGTGAAAACAGAATATTGTTTTGGGGTGGGGGAAGGGTGTGAGAATATTTACCCACATCTTTTAACACGCGCATGCGTTGCGCTGAATCCCACCCCAAAACTCGTTAATTTATTTTTATAACGCTTGAATTGACTGTTAAAAATAAAAAAAAAACCTCATAATTTTATGTATTTTACCTTGTTATTTGTCATACACTACAGCCTACTGTAACTCTTTTTTATGGTTTTATATCATAAATATAATGTTGAAATGAAGATTTATCAATATTGTAAGTTGCAAAAAGCCTATATAAAATTTCACCTAAGTGTGGTAACAAGCTTAATTACAACAAATAGAATATTAATTTTTAAACGAAAATTACAGATTCATCATCCTCATCATCATCATGATCATTTTTCATATATAATCGAAGAGCAGTGCGTTAATTAATTCAAATTAAAACCATTTATTGTACCTTCTTCTCTACGCTAAAGCACTGATGTGTCAAATAGACGAGTTAAAACCTTTTATTATATGATCTAAATATAGCTGCAATCTCATTGGTCCAAACAGTAGTCAACAGAACTTTTTATAAAATCATATTTACTGGGTGTAG